AACCTGAAAGGCTTCAGGGCAGTGGCGGGAACTCCCCGTGTCCACTGGATGGAGGGCGTCCACTCCTCTGACCTGGAAGGACTCTGCTGAGGAAGAACCTTGGAGGGAAGCCTGCAGGCCAGAGGGAGCAGCACCATCCCCGCAGCAGTGCGCACGCGCAGGCCACTCCCTCCGGTTCTTCCCACAAACCGGAAGGAACAGAGCACTACGGAACTTACAGGTCTAGGATGGAGCTCAGGGGAGCCTCTAAGTGGTCCTAGGAAGATGAAAGAAGTCATCTCTGATCCACAGGAGGGATCTAGCTGGGCACTGCCAGGCAGTCCTGCAGCTCTGAGAAGGACCACGGGTGGGTGACGTATGGGCCACCCGAAGAAGCAGGCTTCTTCCTCATGGACAATTTAAATGCAGCCCTGGCAGCATGAGCCTCCAAGGTCAAGGGATGTAGTCTGAATTCCAGCCCAGATAAACTTAGATCAGAGCAACTGTTAGAAGACTGTCCATAATAAATACGTTTAGCACATCATTTTAGAGAAAAGAGAGAGACACATAGGACTGAATGAACAGCCTTCAATGAAGGTGAAGTCACAGAGAGAGAGATCCATATATATTTACACGTAACAGACGTGCTAGATGGGGAGACAGACGATACATAACATAACAAGTGTGACAGATGGAGAGACAGAGATAGAAGGAATGGGCAGACCGAGATGAGAGGATCTTCTTCTTGTCAGTAGTTTTTAGACATACCTTAGCTCTGGTGGCGTAGTGCCTAAAAGCACTAGACCACTAACCAGAAGGCTGGTGGTTCAAACCTACCAGCCACTCCTCAGAAGGAAGGATGGGCAATCTACTTCTGTAAAGATACCACCTCGGAAACCCAAGGAGGGGTCACTGTGAGTCAGAATCGACTCAGTGGCAGTGAGCTTGGTTTTTTTTTTTTTTTTTCAATTTTATTTTAGTGTCTGAACAGTCAGAAATTGACCTACTTGGTGCCCCAAAACTCTTGACTCTGCCTGTACAGGGACAGAGTTCTGCCTGTTCAGAGATGCAGGGGTCTGCCTATACAAGTACTCATGGGTCTGCCTGTATGGTGACATAGAGCTCTGCTTGTTGGGAGACGCAGGGCTTTGCCGGTAGGAAGACACAGGGCTCCGCCTGCACAGGGGCGCATGGCTTTCCCAGTATGGAGACACAGGGCTCTGGGAAGCACGGCTCTGCCTGTCTGGAACTTCAGGAGTCTCTGAAGAAGCATATTAGCTCAGGATTTCCCCAACTCATACAGGAGGCAGCTTATTTTTAAGATTGCTAGAGACAGCACGGAGACACCTCAGTCTGGCAAGTTAGAACATGGAAGAATCCAGATTTTCCAGTGGGATGTGTGAAACTCTTAGAAGAAAGCTACCAAAGTGAAAGCTGATCTTAAGCCAAAGCTGGGGTTTTCACTGCCTGACACCGGTGACTGTTGTGTTCATTTTCACTTCTGAAGTGACAAGAGGTTCTGAATTTCTACAGCTTCCCACATTCTCCACTCCCAGGTGCATAAGAAAATACGCTGCACTCTCACCCGACCTCAGTCTCCCCATCTCTAAAATAAAATTTGGAACTCATGGCTGCTAGGAAAATATCAAATCTAAAGAGACTTAATTTAACAGCCACATTCAGCTAGATCATATGGACGATTCACATGGAACATCTCCATCTATGTGGCTTATCTATAAGCATCAGTGTGGACACAGTTTTGCAATCACAATCATTTCCGCCAGAGAAGCTGATCCTCCAGGAAAGTCCAAATTCCCATTTTGCCTCAGGTAGCTGTCCTTCCTGTCTGGTGACTGCCAATGCTGGGCTTGAGAGGAAGCCCAGAGAGCACACGACTCAGGACTTGACATTCTGCTTCCAGACAAAGAATACCTCCTATTTCAAGCCACAGCGAGTCAGGAGGATCTGCCTCCAGGCAAGGTGCTGCCCTTCCTTTCTCGCAGGTCCTTCTTGAGCAACCTCAACAGGGTGCCTCTGAAATGATTGTTTTTGAAGAAAATGACTTAAAAAATCAGATACCACCCCAGATGTCAGAACCAGATGAAAAGGAGAAGGGAAAAAGGCAGAGTTGGCAGTAATATCACTCAAATCAACTCAAAAACAAACAAACAATCCAAGAGAAACACAGGCAATGATTTTGAATAAACACTTCAGTAAGAGGATATTCAAATGACCGTTAAGCATAACATCTTTAGAAATTGGGATAATGTAACATTAAACTAACGTGAAATATAAAGGAATACCCACCAGAATGGTTAATGTCTGAAAAAAGACAACACAAAATGTTGGTGAATTTGTGGAGCAACTGGAACTCAGACGTTTATGCTACATCCAGAGACATTATCTCAGGCTTGACAATATCTGAAAACATCCATCTGCTAGCTTAGCAGTTTCCCCTCCTGTGCCTATATCCATCCGAAAAGGTTACCGCTATCCTATTGGAATGGCCCACATCTGGATACAATAAAAACATCCATCCACCAGGGAAGGAACCAACGACTACAGAGCATTTGTACAGCAGCAGAACAAAGCCACTGAAAGTCAGCAAGACAATGCCTCTGACAACATGAGTGATTCTTACAAATGGTATTTTGAACAAAAGAAGCCAGATACAAAATAATGCATATTTATGATTCCATCAGCAAGGAATTTATAAACAAGGAAAATGGATCAAAGGAGGTAAAATTCAGGTGTTTTTGTTTTGTTTTTGCTTTTCCCCTTGAGAAGCAGTAGTGCATAAGTGCTCTGGAGTATGGATGATTCCTCATCAGCCTGAGATGAGTTCACAGGTGTCCACTTGATGGAATTAAGAATCAGGAAGTAGAACAGGCTTGTCACCTTTGCCTATGGTTCCCCTCTCTGCTCCCACAGCCTCTGTGCCTTTGGACAAATTTTGCTCTTACTATTTTTGTCATAACTTCTCCCACTAGATGGACCATCTAGCTTTCCCTCTCAATGTTCATGTTGTTTCTTCTCCCCTGTGGTGCTAATTTCAGGTGTACTCAATGCTCAGCAAGTACTTGCTAATGGAATAAATTATGTATTCATGTTATAAATGTATATACATGCACCATGGTCTCTGTCACCTTATATTGTACACCCATGTGCCATAGTCTCAGTCACATTATAAATATACATACATGCACCATCTCTGCCATGTTATACATGTATGCCTATGCACCATGGTCTCCACCATGTTAAAAATATACATACAGGCACCATGCTTGCCACCATGTTATCGATGTACATACATGCACCACAGTCTCCACCATGCTATACAAATATGCACAGGCACCATGGTTTCCATGAAGAGCATTAAATATTTGCAGTTACTCAAAGCTCCATCATGTTATACATGGACATTTATGCACCATGGTCGCCATCATGTTATACATGTATGAACATGCACCATGGTCTCTGACTTGTTATACATGTATATCCAGGCACCATGGTCTCCATCATGTTATACACACATATCCAGGGACCATGGTCTCCATCATGTTATACGTGCACATCTATTCACCATGGTCGCCATCATGTTATAAATGTACATACATGGACCATGGTCTCTGACTTGTTATACATGTATATCCATGCACCATGGTCTCCATCATGTTATAAATGTACATATGTGCACCATGGTCACCCTCATGTTATAAATATGCATGTGTGCACCATGGTTTCCATCATGTTATACACGTATAGCCATGCACCATGATCTCTACCATGTTAAAAATGTACATACAGGCACCACGCTTGCCACCATGTTATCGAAGTACATACATGCACCACAGTCTCCACCATGCTATACAAATATGCACAGGCACCATGGTTTCCATGAAGAGCATTAAATATTTGCAGCTACTCAAAGCTCACACACCCCTGATGGGAACTGCCATGCTGAGAAAAACACCGCTTTATACTTGGGCCTTCCCATTCTGAGGCCAACAGCTAGAATATATGGACTGCTTCCACGGAAAACTGACCACAGAAACGGCAAGGAGCCTAATCATCAACCTCAACCTGAGGTGTCTCCTCTTCAAACATTCCCTATGGTTTCAGGCAACATACTTAATAAGGTTTGTGGCTTAAATCTATTGAACAGAAATCATGCTCTAGATCTCTTTCAAGGCACTCTCAAGATCCCCTTCCATGTGTGTAATCCGCATTTCAGGTATGCAGCAAATGACCCTCTACTTCATCTATATATAAAAGGAGGAGGGAGAGCGTGGGCAGCAGAGGCTTGGAACCCTGACTGAAGACACGCAGTGTGTCTGGGGGAGCCAGGCCCTGCGGGCACGTGCACACTCACAGTAGGAGCAGCCATAGATCTCAGCACGCAGCCCGATGCGCCCCTCCGCGTTCCAGTCCAGCGGCACCAGGCGTACATAGCGCGCGGTCACGGGGTGCTGGAGGTCATGCCTGACCACGCCGTCTGAGTTGGTGTTCCCAGGGAAGGCCTGGCAGGAGAAAGGATGCTCACATTAGGAAAGGTACAGATATACATTAGACCCAAGCACTCGATCTGTTAGCTAGGTAAACGCAGGTGTTCTCGTCCAGCGCCAGGCTGTCTGGTGGTCACACCCTAGGCATTTGAACACAGCTTCTCACACCCTTCATTTAACTTCATTCTCTCTCTCTCTCTCTCTCTCTCTCTCAGTGAGTATATTAACCTTCAGGCCTGTGCAGGGAGTCCCCTGCTGTGAGGAGCGAGGAGCAGTCCAAGATGTTCAGCACATGGTGAGTTACCAAGTGTAGCCTCTCTCTGTCTCTGTCTCTCTCTCTGTCTCTCTCTCTCTCTCTCTGAGTGAGTACATTAACCTTCAGGCCTGTGCAGGGATTTCCCTGCTGTGAGGAGCAACAAGCAGTCCAAGATGTTCAGCCCATGGTGAGTTACCAAGTGTAGCCTCTCTCTGTCTCTGTCTCTCTCTCTGTCTCTCTCTCTCTCTCTCTGAGTGAGTACATTAACCTTCAGGCCTGTGCAGGGATTTCCCTGCTGTGAGGAGCAACAAGCAGTCCAAGATGTTCAGCCCATGGTGAGTTACCAAGTGTAGCTTCCAGAGAAGAGTATTTAATCCTCTTGAACAAATGTGCAATACAAGGGGTTGTCATGGATCAGACTGTGTCCTCCCAAGTTCACCCACCTGCCTAGTCCATGATTCCCAGTATTGTGTGATTACTCTCCATTTTGTGATATGTTATGCATTCTAAACTCTGCCTGTAGCTGATGAGGCAGGATTGAGGTATGTTTGTTACACTGATGAAGCAAAATTAGAATGGGATCTGGCTGGTTGGGTGTCTTTGACTCAGTTCCATTTTGTATGGGACACAAGACCCTTAATCCCATCACAGCCCTGATCTGAAGTAGGGGATGTTCCCCTGGGGTGTGCTTACAAGAGATACAAGGAGAGTGAAGAGAGCAGAGAAGCAGAGACCTTGGTACCAGCAAGAAAGGAGAGCCCAGAGCAGAGTGAGTCCTCTGGACTCGGGGTCTCTGCGCTGAGAAGCTCCTAGACCCAGGAAGAAGACTGATGACAAGGACCTTCCCCCAGGGCCAAGAGACAGAAGCCATCCCTAGAGCTAGCACGCTGAATTTGGACATCTAATATCCTAAACTGTGACAGAATCAATTTCTGTTTGCTAAAGTCATCGGCTTGTGGTATTCTGTTAGTGCAGCACCAGCTAACTAAGTGTTAGCATCCACGTGTGACATTTCCATTAGAGCAAGTTCTAGGCACCAAAGACAGCATCCACATGTAGCATTTCTGTTAAAGCAGCGCCAGGTACCTAAGACGGCATCCACGGGTGACATTTCTGTTACGGCAGCGCCAGGTAATAAGACGGCATCCACGGGTGACATTTCTGTTAGAGCAGCAGGTAACTAAGAGGACATCCACAGGTGGCATTTCTGTTACAGCAGCACCTGGTAATAAGATGGCGTCCACGGGTGACATTTCTGTTACGGCAGCGCCAGGTACCTAAGACGGCATCCACGGGTGACATTTCTATTATAGCAGCAGGTAACTAAGAGGACATCCACGGGTGACATTTCTGTTACAGCAGCGCCAAGTAACTAAGACGGCATCCACGGGTGGCATTTCTGTTAGAGCAGCAGGTACCTAAGACGGCATCCACGGGTAGCATTTCTGTTACAGCGGTGCCAGGTAACTAAGACAGTTATTTTCTTGAGGAGTCACAGCACCACAAGACCGTTTTTTGCATTTCTCTCATACCCAAACACACTGAAGTATGACACTTCATCTGAATGGGAATTTCAACATTCTGAAAGAACAATGAAGGCACTGCCATCATTGCCTGGGACATAAAGGCGCAAATATGTCTCCTTTATGTAGCAGCACTGCATAAACGTACATAAAGAAGTATGTTGTTATGTGCCATCGAGTCGGACCTGACTCATAGCAACCCCTCCTCGGGTTTCTGAGGCAGTATCACTATGGAAGTAGGTTGCCGCATCTTTCTTCTGAGGAGTGGCTGGCGGGTTTGAACCGCCAGCCTTCTGGTTAGCAGTCAAGTACCTTAGGTACTACACTACCAGAGCTCCTTAAAGAAGTATTGGCACTGATTTAATGGAAACAGTAAGTAATATTTATGTCAACTCATTAGTTAAAGGCTTTCTATTGTGCACATTGGACTGTTTGTGTGCCAAACAAAACTGTGGTAGGGATGCTGTATTTTCAGATCAGAAGTCCCAGGCTCAGAGAATTTAGATAAATTACTGGGTGTTCAGGAAGGGGTGAACCAGGAACAAAAGAAGAACAGTTCCCATCTGCACCTCTGTTTGAGATTGAACTTCGTAGCCATAATGAAGGTTTTCACACTTGGGCATTGTTGAAGAATTTCTAAGAGCAGAAACAAAGTTAAAACAATGCTAGAGGTTTAGTAGTCGATTGTACACTTCATGAATCGGGAAGCACATAGCATGAGAGTGAGTGTTGGCAAAGAAATGGGTGGTACTGGGGTTTTACAGTCTGAGGAACAAAGACAGGAAGGCCAGGTGGTCCCAACCAGTCTTTCAGACACACACCATCATGTCCCTTGAAGTATGTCCTTCTTTGGAATTCAGTTTCAGGAAGAAGAGGAACAATGCAGATTTACAGGTGGCTCGGCCTCAGCTTGTCTGGAATGTAGGAGCCAAAAGACACAGGATGTATCCCTTCTCCTTTGGAACTGTCAGTTTGGCTAAGAAGACAAACCACAGGTTTCCAGGTGACCAGGCTACAGATACAGGTTGTGTGAAATAAACCACGTAGGAATTTCTTCTAAAAGCCAGGCTACTTATTATCTTAAACTTTTCCCCTATGAGCTCAGGCTTTTGGCCAGGACTCCAGGCATGGCAGAAATGCTGTCCTCAGTTTCCATAATTTGTTTCAACTTCCAGAGCACACTCATTTTACTTCTGAAATTTGAATTTCCCATGGTATTACACCTTCCATAAGGAGGTCTGGTGGCATAGTGCCTAAGGCATTTGACTACTAACCAGAAGGTTGTTGGTTCAAACCCACCAGCCACTCCATGGAAGGAAGACTGGGCAATCTACTTCCATAAGGATTTACCACCTCAGAAACCCAAAAGGAGTTGCTGTGGGTCAGAACGGACTAGAGGCACCGAGTTTGTTTCTTGGTTTTGGACACCTTCCAAAGACGATTTTACCCTAACACACTTTGGCGTCCTATTTAAGTGCACCCTAGTCATCAGATGTATTTTCTCTCCTGCATATTTTCTTTCTGTCTTCAATTCTATACCCTCAAATTTTGACATCATAATACTTGTTCTCATATGTTTTCTTATGGTGGATTTGTTCTCGAGTGCTGCTATAAAAGACACACCACAAGTAGGTGGCCTTAACAAACAGGGATTTACTCTCTTACGGTTCAGGAGGCTAGAAGTTTGAGTTCAATGTGCCAGCTCTAGGTGCTGGGTGAAGGTCCCTTGACACCTGGGCTTCAGCTCTGCCTCTTGCTCCCAGCCTGCTGGAGTTGGAGGCAACTCTAACTCAGACAGCTTCAGGCTGCCGAGGCTGGCAAACCCAAGGCCAACAAGTAAAATGGCATAGGCATGATATTACTAAGCAACACAGTAGGCCACTAGTCCATGTCCAGAAACATTCTCAAGATCAGCAGACAACATGGCAGGCCACTAAGATGAAGACTCAGCCAAATGCAGGGTCCAGATGTGCCACAAAGCTCAGAGACATTTCTCCAAGCTGCTTCTTGTCTACTGCAAACAGACCACATCCCTAAGGTAGCTACACAGCTGCCGACAGCAGATTCTACCATGGAGTTGATTCACCATGAGTAGTAACTACATCCAGCTACCCAGCCACTCAAAACCAGGCCCAGCCAAGTTGGCACACAACCTTAACCACCACTTGAGCACCACGAGGTCCTGGCCGCTAAAGGCAAAAGGGAAGACTTCTCAGCCACAGGCAGGCCATTCAGTGCCTGGCTGCCAGGGACCTGAGACAGAAGCACTTCTCACTGAATCTGGCTTGTTTTCACATACATTTGCTATTTTTCATATAAGTGTGGAAAGGCAGTGACCACAAGCTGAGGTGCTTACAAAACCTTTAAGATTTGGGGCATTGCCTAAAAAATGGAAATGAATTAGAATCTTGGATCTCACATAT